TCTCCGACTCAGTGTCTTGTCCAACTAGTCCTATCTTAAATATCCTAAAAACAAAACCATATAGATAAGTATTTATGTGGAAGGATTGCCTATCTTCACCTTTATATATTAAGGTCAACGAAAAGAGCACTTTATGGATAAAGGGCAATAATGAAGAGGTAGCCTTTAAACATGATTAGTTGGTATATATTAAAGATCTGTTAAAATGAAATATATACTGCAGGTGAAGGAAATTACTGACTACTACTAGGATGATAGACTTGCTGTATGTTTATTTCACTATACCTTTAAAATATTTGTGAATTTGACTGCATTGTGAGAAGACAGTGCAATGTGGTAGATTTATGAGGGTCTGACGGAAACAGGGCTAGGATAGATTATGGCATACTTGTTTAGAAAAACTGTGAACTGAAGGTTCCTGATTTACACTGACATATATCTAGATGAAACTATAGTTTGCAAATTGCCTAGAGGAGCCATCTTTTATTAAGTGTTTGATAGGTACAGAAATGTACATATCTATTCTAAAATGTAGTAGGAATACTGATGTTATATTTGCAAATGTGATCTTAACATTTTTAGATTTTCTTAAATCTTTATAGTCACCTCATCCAATCTTATTCGTAATGCTTGTGTCCAGTGAACAAACCCCATGGTTAAAGAAGCTTGTTGCATTATTTTGAGTTCTTGGGATAGCAGTATGCTGAAATATTATCTGCAGTACAGCATCATGAGCAATCTAACCATGATTCAGGCTCTTTTCACCATTTTCAACCGCCTGACATCTTACATCGTACATTATTCTACATTGTTACAGTTTAGGACAATGAAAGGAGGACTTATAGTTCTCAGATTTTATGGTTACTCATCTAAACACTTTCAATCTGGATACTGTATGGTGGTGGTATTAAATATTTTGTAAAAATTAGGCATGCAGTAAGAGATGAGGCATGCAGTAATACCACGTGCTCACAGGTTTCCTGCAAGGCATGATGCTGAAAACCTGCAAACCTTTGTAACCAAGAAAAGGCCAACTCCTGCTCATCTTGCTCATGTGAGTAGCCCAACTAACTTCAGTTGGATTACTTGTCTAAGAGGGGCAGAGCCTGCTGTGCTTTGTCACTTTTGGAACATTAACTTTCTTTTTCTGTAACAATTGCTTATTTAATCTTATTTTGCATTGTTATTATCCTAGCTAACTGCACAGTATGAACCATTGTCAATAAAATTCTACTTTCGTAATTCACATTTTATAAGTAATTATGATTGGTATTTATTGATTTCTCAGGGACAAAATTACCAAGAATAGATGACACCATGTATTTTAGTTTCAGTACTTTCAACACATTATTTTCAAGTCAGGTGTATGCAGTACGCAAATATTAAGTGATGCTTTACATGGAGATCTATCTGTCAGGCGGACAGAGTTTTGTCCAGGGAGCAAGTTTTGTCCAAGTAATTATCATATATATATATATATATATAATGGAAAACATCTTTTCTGAATATTCTGAAAATACTGTGGCAATGTGAGTTAAATGTATGCCTTTTGCAAGATCTCATCCAGTCCTTTAATACCAACTGCCATTTAGTGATATTTGTTACTTCAAAGCAATGGCAAAGGCGAAGTCAATTAATGGTGAGCTGACAACTGTGTTACATCATCATCATCATCATTGTGTGCCCACAGTATTTATAATTTTATAAAGGGCCTTCCATACTTCCTTATTTATAACTTATGAAGATCTTCTATTTCTACACTAGTGGTTAGAAACAGATACCAAACCACGTCATGGCAAGTAACAAGCATAGTTCTTTCTTACATTGTAAATTCTTCAATGCAAGGCAGGGAACAGTTTCTTCCTGGATGTTTGGACAATGCCTAGCACACTATGGTATGTACTGGAATACAAATACATAATTAGCACTTGTCAGTTATAAGCAGCACTTATTAGCTGAACAATTAACCTCAGTCATTCACCTTTTCCTAGTTAAATCATATAGTCTTTGAGAATAGCTGCCATCTGCACTTGCATAAAAATATGCTTAACCATGTACATGGTTCTTATGCCAGTTTTGATTTGGAATAAAGTTACTGATTTCAAAAGTGTTATCTCTGTACATGAGAGAATAATCAGGAGACTTCATCTCACCTACTCAGATATAAATTAGGAGTAACTCCACTGAAGTAAATGTAAAATTGGTGAAAGTGAGAGAAGAATCAAGTCTTTTGTCTCTGCACTTTAGAAATGAAAATGTCATACTGTATGTAAGTAAAGAAACAACACATGAAAGTAATTGTGTTGCTTACCAATACGTATGTAGACTATTAGACTACTGATATAAAAAATTTGCACCTACACACTACACTAGTCAGGAAAATGAAGGAACATAAGGAGAATTAATGCCCAAATAAGAGATGTTTGTATCTCTTTTGGATATGCCTCTAAGCATTCACTTAAGACAATATAGTGGTGTTATCTGTCACCTCCTCGTAACTACCAGAGGCAGGTGGTGTTACTTTTTTTCTTTTTCTAAGATCTGGTAAGAGTCTTCTATTCATTTCTGATGGCAATTGGGGACCAATGAGAGTGTTTATACATGTTATTTGTTAGATCAGATATGCTGACAATAGGTTAATATAGTTGTTTTTTCCATTAGCCTGCATATAAAACTTTTTTTCACTGAGGAAAAATATGGATGACCTGAACTATGATTTGACTCCAGAGAAATACGAAGATGGCACCTGTATGAGGCATTATTTTTAGAAAGAGGGGGTGGGACACTCTTTCTCCCTTGACTACCTAAATGACACATCAATATCATTTCTTTTACTTTTGCTGTGACTTTTGTGACTTGTTCCTTGGTGTGTGACTGCAATGAGCATTTTTTGTTGACAGACATGAATAAGGAGCGGACAGCGGTCAAAAGAAAAGTGTCCATGCCCAAATAGGCAGGAGTATGCAAGATAACTTAGCAAAAAAATGTGGATACAGTTGATACACCTGATTTTCCCCAGTTTTGTGTAGTCATTTAGACCTGTGCAAAGTGGGTGTAAATCACAATGTGTCTTTTATGGGTAGTTGGGTGTGGGAAACAAAAAAGGGAGAAAAGAATTTGAAGTACTTAGGAAGTTTTCATACTTTGGAAGGTTTCCTATATATTCAGTCTAGGATTAATAGCTATTATGATTATAAATCATAGGATGCATAGGCACAGGTTGGCCAATAAAGTTATCTACGGAATATAAGTACTCTTGTTTCACAACAGTTTAACATCATTGCTTAACACCCTTCACCTTTTTCAGTTAAGGATTTTATTAGGAACACTTAAAGAATGAACACTTCACTGCATTTTCTGTTCTTCTGAATAATGAACAGAGAAAAGACCCTGGTTTGATTCTGATCACATAAGATTTTAACTTCATTAACCCTTGATTTTCTCTAAATGTAAATTAGATTAAATCAGATTCCCATGATTTCTTTCTATACAAACTGTAAATTATCTCTGGGATTTTAACATTTTTCATTTTGCTTTCTAAAGATAAAATAATGTAATATTTTTGTGCAATGGCACTACATTTCAAGTCATACAGGCCCCAATTCATCCAGGTACTTAAACATGTACACAAGTAGTTTGAGACAACATACATGCTTCAAGTTAGATATATGCTTAAGAACCTTGCTGAATCAGGACCATAGAAGACATGGGACTATCTCTGGGGCTCATTTTCTGGTGGGGATCATTGATGTGTTCCTCAGGTTATAAAGGTAGGGTGGACTGTATTTCAAAAATGATGGGTGAACTATTGAACAGCATTGATATCACCCTGAAGGATACTTTTGCTTGTTCCCTTAGTCAGATTACAGTATACTACAGTGGTTTTCGTAGTAATGGGAAAAAATGTGAAGCAAACTGGGGGAAAGTAGTACCAAGATGAAGTAAAAGAAAACCTTATTTCAGACTGAAGATTATGTACAGGGTTATTTTAATAAATACTGGATTTTAAAATAAAATGTATGTCATGGTATTAGTTGTACTAGAATTGGCTTTCCTTTTATGGGGCATGGCTAGGAAAATAATTAATACGTAAGCTTGTATAGCATGGTAGTGAATAGAGCAGAAACTATACAACCTTGTTAACCTGTGTGTTTAGGCTGATTGATGCATTTTACTCATAATTAAAGAAGATGGTGGTGGTGTGGTGATGAGATATAAGTGCTTCCATTGTGTTTTCTCAATAATATTCCTATCGCTTGTTGGTCTACGGAGCTAGAGATTAGTTTTGATCATGTAACTCAGATCTTCAATGCATCAGTGCAGTATAGCACATTACCACCAGGTTAGTAGAACACCCCATGAAAATGCATTTTAAATGGTGACTTGAGAAATGCATCCTCGTCTATAAATATTAATCTGTAATCTTGGCCATTGTTAATTAAAATCTATGGTTGTGTAACATAAAATATTATTAATTATTCTGTTTAAGTGTTCTATTCTGATTTTTAATTTTTATTTATTTACTTATTTGTACTTATGCATACATTTTCTTTTTTCTAGGTATCTTCTTTCCTAGGTATCCAGGATTGGCTTATTAATTGTGAATTATTCAGTAGAAGATCCTTCTAAAATATCCAGTAATTTATTTACTGGAATATAGCAGGCTGTGTACTTGAAGGCCTCTTTTGCCTCTTTAATCCCATGAAGAAACATTGCAACTCTTACTGCCAACTAAATGCTTTGCACAGTACTCAACAAAACAGAAGCAGCTCTAGCATTAGACAGAAACCAGTTGGCTGTCTACAACTGGGAGATACCTTTCTTAACAGAAGTTACTCATGATTCTGCTCTTGGCTACTGGCATTTCTATTGTCCCAAAACATCTACTTCCACATCTTCTGCCGTGAAGCTTTGAATAAACCATACTCTTCATCTTCACGTGACTTACGTGTCTAAATGGCATAACCTACCAGTGCAGAAGGTCATATAATGCTACCTATTAAACCATCAAACACTTCACATGCTTTGAAAAGAAAACAGACATGGGTTTTGGAAAAAGATCTTATACTGCATCATCATTGTGGTATCCTACCAAAGGAAGGCAGAGAACAGCATGGTCTTTCCACTGGGCACAATAAATGACTGCTTAAAGGGATCGACAAAGACTTCATGACCACTTTCTGATCCACTTTAAAATTATTATAAGCTGGCGGAGAAGTTTATCTACTAATCATCTAGAATTTGAGAGTCTCTTTTCCTATTTAAAGAAAACTATCATGGTACTGTATGGGAAACTAATCATCACAGTTTTTATGGGACTTTAAGCACAGTTCAGAATTTTTCAATACTCTTTTTGGTACTAACTCAAGAAAGTGGTTGAGTATGTGCTTAATTGTACACATGTGCTTAACTTTAAGTCCTTTCCTGAATAGGGATGTTTTTCTGAATGTGGGCCTTGAATATGCAGCAACAGTTAGCACCTGTTCCCAGAAATGTGTTGTCATCAGCAATAATGTTGGTACATGAATAAAGACCTCTTGTGTACCAAGATGTACAGATCTTGATGTTAATGGGGGGAAATAGTGATTATTTTCCATTAACAATGGAAGCAGTAAGGATTCAAGATCATCTAGTAGAAATGAACAGCAGCAGTATGGAAAGGAATTTATTTTAGTTTCAAGAGGGACAAGCAAATAGGATCAACACAAAATAAAATCTACAAGAAACTGCTTGATATTTTTCTTTTAAAAAATGGAAACAAAACAATATTAGTGTTTGATATTGGAGAAAATCCTACTTTTGGGGGGTGGGAGTAGGATGTTGTATGGCATAATGGTTAGGAAAGCACTGAGGCAAAAAAAACAACAACATGGGGATCTATTCCCAACTGCCACTAACTCTGCAAACTTGTGCATGTCATTTAATCTCTCTTTGTTAGTTGCCCTATCTGTAAAGAGATAATAATACCCACTTCTGTCAAGTATTCTGAGATTTTTAGATAAATAGGACTATGTAAGTGCAAAGCATTTTTAAAGTATTGTTTTCCTAATACAATGATAAAAGTGGTTCATAGTGTACTTAAAAAGATTGCCCATTAGGCTTAATGCTCCTGAGATAAGAGACAGCTTGGGCTATACACCATGCAAGTATCAGTTTCTTAATTTAAAGGTGTGTTTTGTGTGGGTGGGCAGCTTTAACTTGGCTGCTACTTTTAATGTTTAATGCCCCAATTCTGCCATCAAATGTGAAATATGCATATTGATGAAAAATGATGGAAGTGAGATGCTGTGAGCTGAAATGTTTATTTCAGGATCTGCAGTATTCTGCCATCTTCTCAAAATATGCTTAGGTTTAGCTCTGCATCTGTTCAACATTTCAGCTGATAGAACTTCACAAAAGGCCCTTTTATGCCTTCAAACTCAAGCTGGTTGCATGCTAGCATCTGAAGATCCCTTAATTTAAGACAATTTCAGGAGGCTTATCATACCATCTAATGCAAAGAAGCAAACATATCAAAGAGTTGTAGTGAAAGGGTGTGGCCCAGTTCTATCACCACAGTCATGAGAAGATTACCTGGGAAAGATAAGTCTGGTGCTGTTTTATATTTCTGAATGAGTCCACACTGGTGGGGAACTTCCCTTTCAAAGAGTATCTGAGGCCAGAATAGCTATGGAGAGTCTCTAGTAGAGTCGTTCCAGTAGAGCCTCATGGCAAGAGCATGGGGATGTGTAGTGGGATCCCTTGGAACAGACAGCTGGTGCAGAGACATAGGGCCTAAGTATGGATGGCTCTGGTCTGGTGCTCATCCCTTGGAATCTGTAGCACATCACATACATGTCGGTCCTGTGGCCTGTTCTATGTGGGGCTTGGGCAGTGGAGAACCCTGACCCTAATGGAATGATTTGGGAGGAACTCTGAGTAAAATCGCCTAGAGTTTTCTTAACCATCCCTCTTTCCAGTAGATTATACTGAGGAAAGGGGATAATGCAGCCCATAGGCAGGTGAAAGAGAAGGGCGGAATCATTCCCTTAAAGCACAAATAGGCAGATGATCTTTGTTGGGAAGAAAAGGGTGCAGTGAATTCCCAACATTTCCAAACACAGTAAAAAGGAAGAGTTGTATCCTGGTTGGGAGAAGCAGCCATAGTTAGGTAGGTACAAAAAGCAGCAGCCAGCTAGATACCATGACATGAGCATATAGCATAATGGTAGCAGTTTGGCCCAGATGTGGGGATAATGTGCTTATAATGAGTATAATGAGATAGAGACAATCCAGATGTAGCTAATTCTGCTGTAGTGTATATAGATGCTGCAAGAGCCATAGTGGCCATTAGGAGCCAGAAGCAAACCCTAAGATTCCCTTTTGGGCAGGAGCACATAGGCTGCATAAGTTGGCAACATCAGCGGCACATCGCCTTTGTTAGACTGGCTAATACTGAAAATTGGCACGTGCACATTACAGAGTTTGCAAGCAGCAGCACATCATACAGTGGGCTCCAATGCTGTCATACTTTACTCTTTCCCATAGCTAGGATGCGGACATAAAACAACCATCGGTTGCTTTAGGTTATGTCAACTTTGGGACCGCTCCTGCAGGTGTTACTGGAGAAATGATGCTATACAGGCCCCTGTCATGTGCACTCCCTTTTCTTCCCACCTACTTTTGGCTTGACTATACCCATCTCTCCAACCATGCACAGCGTTAGTTCAGTACCTTTTGCTATCCTCATAACCTCAGGTCTGTTCCTGTAGGACAGGGAAGACGGGGTACCCAGCATTTTTTGCACTTTATTACCATTTTCATCTTAACTAGCAGGCTTTTCTACTGCTGGGTGCTGTGCAGCCAGTGGATGATCAGTCACCTGGAGTGTAAATTAATTGTGACCTTAGGTGAAGTAATTTACTCTCTGCAGTTTTCTCAGATGTGTAACCAAATAGAGAGCTGGCTGGCCACACGTCAGCTATTGTAAAGGTCCTATTATGCTGAAGAACAACATTATGGGCTAATACTGCTCACCTTATTCAGGTGCATAAAATCACTGGCCTCACTAGGACTATTTGAGTCAGCTAGGCAAGTAGGATTTGGTCTTTTGTGGATCTACTCTAGAGGATTTGGGTAATTAGTGATAGAATACTAATGCTGCCACATAGTTCATGCTACTTAAAGGGAAATATCAATTTGCTTCAGATCCGTCCTCAGATTTCAAAAGACAGGAAACATCTCTGCATTAACAATTTTGGACAGATTTAAAAAGTTGCATTCACTTTTGGAATTTCAGGCTTTTAAGGTAAGAAAAGCAGGTAGTTTTTTTTAACTGTTTACCCATGTTATCTCAAGTGAACAGAACAGAATGGAAATGGCTTATCAGAAAAGTGAGCCAGTGCTGCAGCATGCCATATTGCTTACCCAGGAAATGGCAGGTATGTCATTTACATACTCCTTTGCTGCCGGTAACTGCCAAGCCACCACTGGAAAGCAGTTGTGTGTGGCATGCCTCTGATTTCACTGGCACATCGATGTAAAATGCTACCAAAATTATCAGGTCCTTTCAAAATCTTGCAGGACATCTAGTTATGTTGTAGTATTGGATTACATTTCGTTCAGTGCTCAGAAGCACTAATTATCAGATGTTAAAAACATTAAAGAGGCTTTGGCATTGTTTAGGATAAGAGAGTTACAAAATAGATACAAAAGTTGTACCCCTTCTTCATCCCCTCAGAATAATTTTTCATCCATTATCTGCCCTTAATTAAATCCAGAGTATTGTTGGCGACAATTGTTTTAGGGGGTTATGTTTTAATTGTGATTATGACAAAATTATGCTTGCTTTACTCATGCGAGTAGTCCAACTGAATTTAATCAGACTACTTATGTGAGTTCATCAAGCAGAATTTGGCTCTATATGGTGATGATTTAATTACTTATATTAATTACATAAAAATGTTTAGTAACTATTGAGGACTTGACTGAAGGTATTGGGGGGGGGGGGGGTCAATGCAATTTGAAAGTGGCCACGGGGACAATCTGAAGACTTCAAAACACTTTTTTTTTAAATGACTGAATGGAACAAACAGACCAAGGGACTTCCCCAGGAAATCTCATTTTCCTATCATTTAAACAGACTTCTTCACATACATAAAACTGCCTTAGACATTATTTAATAGATGATTTCAGTCCCATTGTGCGTATCTTACTCAAGTAAAATACTCACTGGGTCCTTCTGTTTGACCTTTTGAGGAGAAAAGTATGTTTCCTCATGGCCATGTTAAATTCAGCAGTAAAATATTCTCACAGATTTAAGCAGGTGCACAACTTACAACTCTGTGAAGGAGAATATTGAGTAATGTAAGCAACCCTTGACTAGATCAGCATTTTCAGGCTTATGAACAAGATCATGCTGAAGTGTTTAAAATGGAGTATAGTGCAAATTTGTGAATAAGACTATGTCCTTAAAAACACAGATATTTCCCCTTCTCAGTTTGGAGGGCATGGTTATTAAATATATGGCATTTGCTAAATGTAAAATGGGTTCCAACTCTAGGGCACTACTGGGTGATTATATCATGTTGCACACACACCCATCTATATATTACTTTTATACTGTAGGTGTATCATATAGTAAGGGTGACCCATAGGTAACTACCCAACAGCTCTTACAGAAGCAGCAATGTACTGTGCTAAGCTCACAGCTATATCTGATTGAATCATATGTAGCGGGGTCTGTATGCAATATGATATAATCAGCCAGTCCTAGCCTAGAGTTGGAAGCCATTTTGTATTCGTAATATTTGGCGCACTTTTGGTATCTGGTAATTCAGAATGAATAATTAATACTGGCACAACATAGATTACAATCACAAACACTGGCTCTGCTCTATTATGAACAGATGGGTTATACACAACTATACTTTCTTTTAACCCAAATTTGTATGTGGATATAGCTGATCACAAGTTATTGTTAACTTCTTCTATATATTTCCCCAGCTGATTATGCTGTTCTTGAGGTTGTCATATGGCATTACAGCACACTTACTAATGACTTATTTTGTCCAGATTACACTGTGATTTTTGAGCTCATAAACCAAACATGGGTACAATTTTGCAAAGTAACACCTGATTTTCTTTCTATATAACATCCTACCGGCTGGGATATTAATTCTCACAGATAAGTTTATGTGAATGAAAAATACCTGCATCTAGACATTTTTCTTTAGTTATGCAATACATACAAGACAGCAGATGGCCCATAGTCAGAGATACTTATACATAACTAATATAAGAATGAAAGTCAGACCCACAATCTGTCGAGAATGTAATTTGTGGTATATAATTCTCCTTTTCTTCCTTCTGTGCTCACTTCTGGATTTATGAAAATCCTCTCCTCTCACCTATCCAGTAGTAGAAGGACATCCCGTAGTGAGATGAAAATCTGTAATGCAGCTTGACAACGTCATTAACTAAATTTGTAAAGTTACATTCTTCTACTTTTATATGTAACTGTCTTTATTTTGCCATTTCAAAACAGTTTCCTAAGAACTGTTGCAGTTCAT